TTGAGGGCATTTTCTCCTCGCCTCGCCTCCATGCTTTGCAATCCCTCCATTCCTTAACTCATCAGATGCAACCAAAAATAAAATAATTCAATCCGATTAATTATGTCGTAAATGCAACCTGCAAACCCCACCACTTTTATTTTCTGTATATTATAAAATATTAAAATATGTATGTTTGTAAAAATTAAAAAAATAAAAATCAACAGGAACAAAAACATAAATGCAAATAAAACATAACCAGAAACAAACACGACCACAACCTTCAGCTCATATGCTAACATATTATAAATATACCCTTTCTTTTATTTTTACCTGAGCCGTATTAAATTAAATCGTAAAACCATAAATTAAATCAGATAAGGGAATTAATATATCTTACGCTTTTTCTTTTCCTTTTCTTTGTTCCGTAGCATGCTTCTTGTTGCCACACCTTTTTTCCGTAGCATGCTTCTTGTTTCCACGGCTTCCCGACTCTGCTGGCTCTTCGTACGTAACCAAGCCCAATATGCTCCTCACCATACCAATCGTGGTCACACGCAAGTCCTTCTCTCCGTTGAATTCGATTGTTATATTGTAATTCCTGAGTCCCGGGACCTCGAACTCGTCGGGCTTGTCGATATGATTACGAGCAAATGTGGACAGGACATACCAATGTCGTGCCAGCGTGAAAATCCAATCCGGTATGTTCTTTGAAGGCTTTACACTTTGTTGTGCGACCCACTGCATAACTGGTATAAAACGCATCGCTTCCGACAAAAACTCACGATCACCTCCTTCTTGAGAGCCGCATTATCATCCAAGTTCTGTAGAGGCGCCGCTAAAAATGAGTTAAGCATTTCCTCCAATGTTCTATTACCCAACATTGGTTTTACACTTAACAGGCTCGAGTACTCGCATCTGATATGATCTATACTTCGGCCATTTTTTAGCGGCTCTTTCAGTTTCCTGTCCTCCCGCAGTTGCATCCAAGCGTAATCTTCCGCTACCACTCTTCCTCTTTCTTGAAAGGCTGCTTTGATTCGTTCTTTTGACGGCCATGACGTAGAGGTCTTTGTGCCGTAGCGCAAGCCGAGCCTCTCTTCCATTTTCTCCTTGTAGGACCAAAACAAAGAACGGTCGGTTTCCAGCACCGTTCGGCATATGGATGTTTTGAACATCCGACGATATCAATAATCTTGCCCGAAGCCGTTCGATCACCCGTTGGTAATCTGTAGGATAAGAATTAAACTCATACTCATAGCTGAAATCAGGATCGTTCATAAATGTTATGGAAGCCATGTGGTTTTCTTTGGATGGAGAAGTGAATGGGGAATGTGTAAAAGAAAAAAACTGTGACGAAAAGGAATTCGGAAGAAGAAAATTTAAGGATTGAGAGTATGAGAAACAAGAACTCAGCGATTAGCAACACTGATGAAAAAAGAATACTCCCCCTGCTGATATTTATCCATAAGTTATTCAACAGCTGTACTGTAAGCATGCTTTAAATTGAGTTCTAAAACAATGCAAAAAAAAAAAAAAAAAAAAAAAAAAAAAAAAAAAAAA